GAAGGAAGGAAGGAAGGAAGGAAGGAAGGAAGGAAGGAAGGAAGGAAAGGAAATTGATAGGCTAAGAAAGAAATTGCAAAGCAAACTTTACCCTATAGGCCTTGAAACAATGATTTCAACTTGAGGCTCTGATTTGGATTCTAAAATAATATTGTAAACTTCTTCATTTGTAGCTCCAGGAAGTGGTTTACCATTCCATTCTAGAACTTCATCACCTGGAATTTAAAAACAAAGGATATATTCTTTTGTATGATTTCACTCTACATGCATAGAAAAATATAAATTGGTATGGTAGCTTCTTTTCTAGGCCATATCTGTGGGTATATATTCAGAGATAATAAAACTTTGCAAATAAAAAAAATCTCTCTTCTTGAACATTCTTCTGACATCAAAACACTGACCTATCAGCAAAATTGAAATGGTTTGGCAGAAGGATGTCAGGAAGCCTCAATGGGCTATCACCCAATTCTGCTATCACATATCACAATATGCAAGGGGGTCAGTATAGCTAGTTAGAAGACACCATGTGCTATTAAAGAGGAAGAACTTGCTACCATTCTTCCACTCTCAGTACTAGGACTTCTAAATCAGTATATTCAGTTTGTCTGTCTGTCTGTTTATCTATCATTGATAGAACACATTGTAAGCTGCCCAGAGTCATTTCAACAGTGAGATGGGCAGATTACAAATTTAATAAATAAATAAATTCTAGCCAGCCAAGAGCAGAAGATTAGCCAGGCAGCATGAGACAGATTAAAATCTATTTAAGAGGTCAGTTGAAAATTGAAACTCTTCAAGTGATATTAATATTTAATTTTCTCAGAAGGTCTCAGATTTTCTTCCTGTCAGGCGTATGAGCAGCTTAGCCATTTACATTAGTGTGCAATGCAGCATACTTCCACTGTAACACAGTCGGTTGATTTTTTTTATTATCTCAAGGCAAAAACTCCTTCCTTCAGTCCAACAAATGTTTTTGCAGAGCTCTTGGACTTGCAAATGCTTCCCATTGTTCTTTATAGTAAGTCTTTAGTGTAGAGAAGGTCATTTCCTTCTTTCTGACAAGATTTTTTTTCTGTTTTAAAAAGAATAATAAGATCTGATATTTCTGCAGTTTTGGTTTGCAAAAAGGTGCCCTTTGTTCATTAGCAGATATATACAGTAAATATCACAGAGTCTCATGCATGTTTTTTTCATATGAAGTTCATGGAAATTAGTACAGAATTAAGATTTGTTTTTGTTCACATAAACTGGAACATTATCAATATTTAGATTATATGGATTTTTTCAGTTCTTTAAACCTTTCTGTCAGATATAACTGAGATCTATATATTCTTAGAAATATAGTAACTTTATATATTATAAACATAGTTTCAGCATATGCAAATCTTTACTTTGTGTACAGAGTACTTCTAAGAGTCCATTCAATAAACATACATTTTAAGCAATATAACTAGGTTCAGCTGATATAGATAATGTTTACCTTGCCCCCATTTGGTTGAAATGTTTACAAAGGGAATTGTACACTGAAGCTGCAAATATAGTACATAACAGTAGCATTATATAGATTTTGAGAATATTAAGACAAAATCATTCCCATAACTGAGATACCTGCTCTTAGATGTCCCACCACATCAGCCAAGCTACCTTTCTTTACTTTGGTAATGAAGGCACCAAGTCGTCCTAACTCCGTCATTTTTCCTCCTACAACCTGAAAATAAATATGCCACCTTTCAGAATACCAAACTGCATTTCAACTAAAATAATGGGAATCTATATTCAGTTCAATTGCCTTTTATCTATATAACCACAGCAACCTTGCATCTTTCAGAGGAAAATAATTGCTCGTGCAATGTTGATACTTTATATGATTTTTAAGAGATCCATATCCATGTGACTATTTAAACTTGCAAAAAAGAATCAGCAGCTTAAGAACCCTTACTGTTCCATAACTGAAAGGTACATCTTGCAGAAGTGGAACTTACCTGTTTAACTTCAATTTGTCAATCCAGGAAAATGGTTTATTTGTTGCAAACATTTAATTACCCAAACAGGTAATGTTTCTGTTGTTTTTTTAACCTAATATTTGCTGCCCAGAGTTACAGCTGATAAGATGGGCAACCATCTAAATCAGGGGTGTCAAACTCAAGGCCCACGGGCTGCATCCGGCCTGTAGCATGTTTAAATCTGGCCCACAGGGCTAGCCTGGAAATAGCAAAGGACCAGCCCACTGTGTCTCTAGCAGCCAAAATGGAGTGTCTCCTGCAGCACTTTGCTGGCCAAAATGGGCATGGGCACATTTTGGCCAGCAAAGTGCTGCAGAAGTCGTCTGTCCTGTCTCCTTCCCCCTCTTCCCCCTGGCCAGCCGGCTGGCCCACAGAGAACTACCATGCTGATCCGGCCTTCAAAGAAATCTAGATTGACAACCCTGATCTAAATCAATCAATAGGAAGCACCATCACAGTAATGGAGTTTCTGGCTTTTTATGTATGGCAGCTTGTCTGAGCTATCTTACTTAAAGTTGTATGTGAGCCTGTTTCTGATTGGCCGACCTGCCTGATTTGGCTGCACTGTTTCATCTTAAGAGTGTTCCTTTCTATTGTTTTGGTTCTCACTGATATGCATATTGATTACTGGGTATGTGATAAGGAGGGAAGGAGAATATACTCTGGGTTTTTGCTTTTTTTAAAAAAAAATGTATACTAGGTTTGTCTCTCTGTGTCTGCTAATGGTTGATGTATGAGAACACCAAACTATTATGCATTCTTTGATTTGGCTTGATCTAAAATACTTAACAGTTTTCCAATTGAATTTATGGTTCAATTTGTCTATGTGTTATGAAATTAAAGAATTGATATTCAATGTCTTCTGGCTGCTTCCTGGTGTTCACATATGCATTCTGCTAATCCTCTAATAGTGATTTTTACAATCTGTATATGGTATGTTGTAAATAATTCCTGTTCTGCCATCTGTAGTTATTGAATTTAGGGATTGTTTAAGAGAGATTGCAGAGATTGCAGCTGTGCTGTTTGCATAAGTTTCTAATTTGTTTATGTATCTAGCCATCAAATTGAAAGTAAGTGGTGTGGCAAAGATCTGTCAGTTCCATGATTCCAGCTTTTTCCAGTTTTGTACTCTTGGGTAGGGTAGATGCTTTATAGCTTCAATGGATATTCTGCCAGTGTTGGACATATGGAGGTAAGAATGTTGTGATATCAAATTGGACTGTGATTTCATCTTTCACAATTGTTAAGCTTCAAATTTTCTCAGGGCATTAAAGTTGCATGTTCTATGAGCTATCGAGTTATTTGGTGAGTTCTCTGGTTAAGTTGTGGGAACACAACTAAATGAAGCAGTATGTTTGCAAGAAATAAAACCAAGCTCAGTGAACATTACAATTCCAGAAGTTAACCATTAGCACTAAGAGCATTCTTCACTATTGAGTTTCATTGCCTTTCGGGGACAAAGTTTAAGGAACACAGCAACAGAAAGCTTGACATAATTTCCCTAAAGTTTTTAACCTGTAGTATGGTTGACTCCAAAGGGTAAACTATACCTATATTGATATATTCTTTTTTCAGGATGATAGTAATGATGCTAATTATGTTATGATAATAATGCTAATTATTATTCATACATCCTATCATTCTTTGTAGGACATAAAAGACATTATTTAATGACTAGTCCATTCTATTAGCTCTTCTTAGAGACAAAGTTCAAATTACTTGGCCAAGGATCTAGAAAGGCAGCAAAGAGAAATTACTGGTTCTTACTCAGCCCATGAACAATCAGAAGCATGGAGCAGTCAATGTGACTGGCTATTAAAAATGGCAATATATATACCCTTAGTGGGGTATATGTAGTATTCCTCCTACATGACATGTAATCTGGAATTTAGTTATACATATATGTGTATACTTCTAAAAACTAGGAATTCACAGAGGAAAAAAAAATCCAAATTCCTGAGTGGTTACTGACACAACAGTAAGCTATGTCTGAATTATAAATAAATTTGTACCCACCCCAAGTTCTCTGAAGAGGCAGAACGCTAGGAGATATCACATTTTTGTATCAGCTTCAATTCAATATTTAACCCAAATGCTAACCTATTATCAACTAATGTACAGTTCAATTCAAATCCAATTGCATGGATTTGAACAGTGCACTGTACAATAACTTAACCTCACTGTTTGGGTCATACAATACCTAAAGCCACAAACTGGAAAAATACAATTCAGCCATGCATATGTGAACTCAACTTTAAAAATTAATAAATTTAAGTTTAACTTCTGCTTCTTCTTTTTAATCTCAAGGTGGTACTTAAATAATAGACTACTTTAAAATCTTGCTAAAAAATAAAGGTCATAATTTCAACCAAGGATCAGTCTTCTTAGAAAAGATTAATGAAAATAAGTTTATAGTATAGTTTCCAAGCACTTACTTTGAGTCCCAGTAATGCACCTGACTCTTTTGGCATAGTTGTTCTCTTGTTGAGAATTACACGACCAATTAGCCGATCTCCCTCTTTAGATGGTTGCCAAGTGACAGGATGCTATTATATACAAATACCAGAAAACAAATGAATTGAGAAATTGTTTTTGTGGTAAAGACTTTGGGCCTCTACTTTTATAGTGATCACCTATTTTTATTAATTGTATTCATTATTTAAGTGGATTGTTATCTCTAGAATTAAAAGAAGCTGCATTATGTTTAACAACCAAACAATGAAAATCATATTTAAAACTTGGAACCTAATATTTCAGCTCACAAAAGACATCTTTAACAAGACAAATTCCAGAGATCCCTATTACAGCAGAATGTATAGCATACACACACACGAATACACACACTTGAATGAAATCCAATTCCTTTTGCTTTTAGTAAGGAAATTTATGGGAGACACCACCATTCCATCCTCAACCAGGTTAAGTATCAGGGAAGGAATTTATTTAATGCTTTGTTCATTGAATCTCCACATGGCTCAGAAAGGAATGGATCTAAACTCATTTCAGAATTGTGGGGTATAAATCTTCTAGAATTAAAACTAAAACAAAAAAAATCAACTACACTCAGACCGGTGCAGTAAGTAACCAGAGAGCAGTGCTACATTTCATTTGCAGGAACTCAGAATCTTGTTTGATTCTTTTCACAGTAATTTTCCCTGAGGCTGAGTCCTTTTTCCTCTGAACCTGTGTTCTCTTATTGCTGTTTGTTTTCTAATTATGAAAATATGGCCTTATACGGATCCTTTGGTTGCCAGTTCACAGCACGTTTTGTGGATTATAATCTGACAACATAACTCAGAAAGTCTAGACCTCTGCAAATGACCAGATACTGAGCTTAAATTTCTGTCAAATTCGCCAGTTAAATGAAAAGCAAAAGCAAAGATTTTTTTTCCATCTGAGTTTTCCTTGAAATCCATGTCTGGAGAACAGAAAGAAGACAGTGGCAGTGGCAATAGAGGTCAAATCGGCTGTATCACCTAGACTGTTCTAGGAACATAAGAGCAGGCTCAAATGGAAGTAAAAGTTACAAAACTAAACAATGGGATTATGAGGAAACAAGGCTCAATCATCTCTCAGTCTCTCCCTCTCTCCGTCTCTCTCTCTCTCTCATATCTGTCTGTCTATCTATCTATCTATCTATCTATCTATCTATCTATCTATCTATCTATCTATCTATCTATCATGGAAAAACTGGATACAAAATAGTACATAATTTGGACCTGAATTCAGCTTGGAGAAACATATATGGGACACACCTTTATGATGTTTGCCCCAATATACAAGAAGTCCTTGACTTACAACAGCTCTCATTTAGTGATCATTGAAAGTTACAACGGCACTGAAAAAACTGACATGACCTTTTTTCACACTTATGACCGTTGCATCATCCCCATGGTAACATGATTTACAATTGGATGCTTAACAATTTATGATGGTTATAGTGTCCCAGAGTTATGTGATCCCCTCTTGTGACCTTCTGACAAACAAAGTCAGATTCACTTAACATCCATGCTACTAATTTAAGAACTGCATGCAGTGATTCACCTAACGAATGTTACAAGAAAAGTCATAAAATGGGGCAAAACTCACTTAACAAATTTCTCACTTAGCAACATAAATGTTGGATTCAACTGTGGTCATAAGTTGAGGATTATCTGTATTTCATTCTGTTCTGTACATATGTTTACTACACAACAATGGACCCTTTGCTGCAATCAATAGCAGCATCCTATAAACTTCTGCTAACAGTCCTTACTCCGGAGTAAGAGGGATTCTTCCAAGAAGAGCTAGAATCAGAGAAAACTATTTCCTTCACTTCCACTATTATGAACTTCCCTTGAAGACTTTTATAAACAGAATACACTACTCCATGAGTGGAAAAGATCCAATGTTTATAAATATTTCTTATATGGGTTACATTGAGAACAACAGACATTAAAATGGCTATGAAACAATATTATTCTTTAATTTAAACCAACAAAATAATGGGGGAGGGAGGGAGGGAGATTTCTTACCGAGCTAATAGGGGATGTATCTCTAGTGTGCCATGTGGCAGGATCCAACCAGTAATAATCCAAGTCACCTGGAAGAGTTATAAACAGAAAGAAATCTATATTCTCACATATTAAGAAAATTATATGAATGGATAAATGAGTTACATCTGCATCCAGAAATTTAATGTAAAATATTTTGTAAGAAAAGCATTAAGTATAGTGATCCTTTTACATATAGAGAGCAACGTATTGTAATGTGCATGGAATTAAAATACCTTTACATTACACGTAAGCTATTTGAATTTTACAGCCCAAAATGAAAAGCTATAAAAATGCACTAATGTTTTATAAGGTCCACTAAATTCATGTACTGTAAATATATAGCGAGTTGGATCTAGGGTAAAGTTAGTTCTACATAATTTCTTTTAAACTCATACAAAACTAAGACATGATTAATTATCCCATTGATTTAAACACAATTTACACAAAATTAATTCCCATAGCAAATCCTGTAATTATCTACTCAAAAGTACTTCTTACTGGTTCTTATTTCAAGGAGATTTAATTCTAAAATTAAAGGTATAAATCAGCATCTTGAATCCAGATTTGGATTTGAATAATTATTATGAAAACATATTACATTTTTTTATCCCACAATAATTCTTCATGTGGCTTTCAAATTCCTAATGATAACCGAAGAACATCTAATAACAGAAATGACAATAAGTAGTTAGCATTTAATATGTATTACTAAGTAATGAAAAGACATTAACAAAACTGTGTGTGATATGCATTGAATTATTTAATTGAATAAATATTAGACTAGATCAGATGATAGATCAGATGATATATAGTTGTAAAAAGCAGAAAGAAAAAGAATGGATTATGATGAAGACTAGAGTATTATGGATCTGTCAGTGTATTAAGCAATAAAAATAAGTAAATGAACTGCTATAGCCAAATGAGTCTCTTAGGAATAGAAATTGAATATAGAAAATTCTGCTCAATCCAGAAATTCCTTTTTGTTTATCCTTTTTTGTCCATCTATTCTCTGTCTCCTGAGTCCCAGCTGATCAATTGGGTCTTTGTTGCCCTGCACAGGAGAACGGAGCTGGAAAACAAGTCAGTGGGGTGGGGAGGGAATGGAGATTTTGCAGTATTCTTCCCCTGCCACAGCCACCAAGTCACACCACGCCCACAGAACTGGTAGTAAAAAAAATTGAATCCCACCACTGCTGTAAGCTAATTATATCTTGGAGATTTTTAATGTTTTGCTTATTATATATTGCTCAATTGCTGTGGGGTATAGATATTATAAATAAATTAGTAGTTCTCTGTAGGTACTTATAGGTATGCACTATTACTGTTAATTAAGTATGACATAAGTTTTGCATTGTTGTTTCAGTAGCTAATTAATATAAGCAGTGCAACCTTCATATTACTATGAATGCCAACAGGCCTGGGGAACCCAGAGTGGGATGGAACCCATCAAATGGCTCATTTGAGGCAGGAATTATTGTTTTTTATGTTTATTTTTTCTATACTTGTGTTTTTATTGCTTATAGGCCACCTAGAGTCTCTATGAACAAATAGCAGCTATATAAATTTTCTAAATAAATAAATACTACATTTTGAACTTATTATATAATAAAAGCCACTATCCTTTAATTCTATCCCCATCTATAATGTGTTACAATAGTTACAATAATATAAAAGAACTTTATAGGGATGAAATAAAGAATATATACATCACCACTTTTCATACATCATTATCGCTATTGTTGCTGTTGCTGCTATTATACTTATTTCACTGTCATGTTCTTTATTTAAATATGTAATACACTGCAGGTGTAGAATAAGTAAATAGTGATTTAAGGACTAGATTGGATTTTAAAAAGGCAATATATGAGCCTTGGGGAATCTGAGTGAGGCTTTGAGGTGGCCAGATGAGGCTTTGTGATGACTGAGTGAGGCTTTGAGGTGACTGAGTGAGGCTTTGGGGTGGCCAGATGAGGTTTTGTGGTGACCAAGTGAGGCTTTGGGATGGCCACATGAGGCTTTGAGGTGATTGAGTGAGGCTTTGAAGTGGCCAGATGAGGCTTTGAGGTGACCGAGTGAGGCTTTGGGGAGACCAAGGGAGGCTGACTGAGGTTTTGAGGATACCAAATGAGGCTTTTGGGGAGGCTGAATAATAAGCCTTTGAGGCCTTCTACAGGGTTTGCAACTGCCTCAACCAGCACACCTTTTCAGCAGTAGGAGGAAGGAGAAGGAAAAGGTTATCTGGAATGGTGGTGGAGGGGGGGGATGACAAAGTTAGGCAATGTCAATGGCATATAGGGTAGTCAAAAGGGCAGATATGGGAGAGGAGATAGGTCTGATACTGTGCATAGACATGATTCATTACAATTTGGAGAAACAGAAAGGCCATTTCAAAACTACACATTGATCATAAATTTACCTGAACATCCTCCTGCAAATTATGGCAAGCTACAAGAGACTAAAACAGTGCATACAGAGAAAATACAACACTTCTTTAAAATTAGTCCCAGATGAAAACTGTTTTATCAAATAAAAATGCACACAGAAAACTGTAACCTGAGGGGGATGAGAAGAGGAAAAAAAACCCGACTTTGACAAGTTAACTTTCAATTTTCCAAATAATTCTTGGGCCCATTTCCTTTCATTTACATCATTTAAAAGCACACACAAATCAGTCAGACCCCTTTAAAGTTTTAGATAGAGAGATGTTGCTGGCTCTGCAGAATCTTTACCTAGCATCTTTTCCTTTTTGAATATGTAAGAGCAAGAATTATCATGCAGCAAACATGCTAACTCTTGACATCTTAAGTTGAATCAGTGTTGACATCCAACTAGCTAGCCAATATTAACTAACTAGAAGGGGAGACCTCTTTGGTCTCCTGACTGCTTTCTGGCAATTGCATTAAGGGACCATTAGCAACACCACACAAGCATCAATTGGTAAAATCAGATTCAGTTTACTGGAAACAACAACAACAGAATGGATCAAACTGTACAAATAACAATACAGAATACCAGAATAGATAATGCCTTCAGATATACACTGTAAGTATATAAGGTATTTCTTTTACCTGTTCAGTTCATATTAAACTTCTAGCATAGGGCTCTTAATTCATTTTGCTACTAACATTTTATAAATATTTGGTTCAGACCTTAATTTAAGATACATTATCCTTGTCTTGGTCTGATATGAAAGCCTCCCACTTGCCATAGAGATGTGTGCTATATGCTTTTTAAGTTTTGATTTAAACAGGGGGAAAAACCGTAAGTAACCTTCTGAAATTAAAATGAAATTTACAGATAATATTCTGTAAATATTAAACCTCAAACCTGTCTAATGTCCCAAGGCACCTGAATTTCTGTCCTTTAGGAACAGACATTTGTCCAAATAAGATGCACGTAATTGATACTTAAAAATAATGTCTAAATACCTGTCCACTGTTATATGATTAATTTCTCAATTCTCATCCATTTATTTTCTAAATAATTCTTCATATGGCAATATTATTACTTCACTATTTTTGCTATGCTGACCAAAGTAGGTTTGTCTAGAATAAGCTACGAACCTCTATCTGACTTTAAACTATTACATATGCGGCCAACTAACCAATATATTAATACCTCCACAAAGCATATACAAAATAGAAACTTGATCAATTGAATATACTGCTTAAAAAGATTTTGCAAAAGTATACTGCATTCGAATATTCAGGCTGCAGACTGGTATTTGAAAGAAAGCTATGAAATTTACTAATCACAACAATTCAAGAAAAAGCTGGTTACATGAACTCTATTTTGTCAAACAGAAATGTTAAAAATCCTATATGAATTATTTTATAACCCTGGCCATCAAAACATTTGAAATTTCTAATTTAATTAACATGCAAAATCATGCATCTACATAACCAATATTTGCACTGATCTAGAATTGTATTTATAGGCAGGTTATTTTTATAATTCTGTACACACACATATACACACCATATTAATGTTAGAAGAACTCAAAGTTATTGACAATAATATTTTACAGATATCCCCACAGTCTTTCAATCCGAGAGGACCATATGATTACCTGTCCCTGAATGCAAGGAATATAGAAGAAACTAAAGGAAACCAGCAAACATAGCAGCATCAGCTCACAGTGCCTTAATAAGCAGAATCAGCTCTGAGCAGGTTGCTGAATTCCAGCTTCAGACTGTAGCAAAACCATAATCACAAGGGTGCAGGGGAAACACCCAAAACCAAATCAGTACAAAGTCAAGGAGTCATTGTTTCCTGTAGTTCTTGTCTCCTGAGCCTGTGCCAAAGGATTCTGCAATGTCAAACATTCTACAAGACCAACATCAATTAGGGCCATCGGAGCACCTGCCATAAATACAAATCTCTGCAGTGTAGAGTGAGCACTGATTACTGCAATAATCCATACGCAGTCCACGCAGTGCTAAAAAGAGGCTCGCTGCCTATGGAGCATCTTTAATCATTTTCAGAGGCTCCCATTAAGGATCTCACAAAGCAATATGTTTGCTTCACTGCAGAAACTGGAAAATGCTTTATCTGCTGGGTTCTGAACACAGGCAAGTTTAATGCAAAAGATCTTACCCCACCTTACTAACACCGAAACCATTTTTTTTCTTATTAAGTTCAGTTGGACTGAAATTAACACAGTCCAAGCATCAAGTAAAATTTACAGGCATTCATTTATTTACCATTGTGTTTTCTGAACTGCATCAAGAAGACCTGCTGTCTCTGTGAAATTCTCTTTGGGACTGTCAGTTCGGAAAAGCTAAGTCTGCAAAAATGGACTGGACTATAAGCAAGTGAATGACAGATGCCTTCCCAGGTAATTATTTATTTATTAGATTTTTATCCTGCCTGTATGGTACTTTTTTATAAGTAACTCAAGGTGGAAAACATAACTAATACTCCTTCCTCCTCCTATTTTCCCCACAATAACATCCCTGTGAGGTGGGTTGGGCTGAGAGACGGCAACTGATCCAAAGTCACCTACACAACTTTCATGTCTAAAGTTGAATTAAAACTCACAGGCTCC